TCAAATTACTGGAGAGTAGCCGATGCCATTGGGAAGAAGTGTTGCTCACAAGATATGTGTTTCAGCTTTGGAGTTGGCAAAGACATTGATTTCCAAAGAGGTTCTAAAGAGCTTTCAGCGGGGGGTGGGGTTCTTAATTCGCTGGCAAAAAGTGTTCAACTTCTGCCTGATTTGTGCAACATTGGGCTTTGCTTAGTGAAGCTGAAGTTTGTTGCTTGCTTGCCATGCAGGCGGGCCTACTTCTTGGGACTGCAAGTGGCCATGACCGCTCAGCCCCAGCGCTTGGCAATGCTTTTCACTTGGTACTTGTACGTTTGCTTGAGTTGGATACCGAGCATCAAACGCTTGCCGCCACAGCGGCAAAGCTAGTGAAGCTCTCAACCGACATGGGTCGAAAAGAGCGAAGCCAAGGAGTGATTGCAAAGGAGTTCGGCAACGAGGTGTCGGGCGGGATTTCATTCAGTTCCAGGTTGAGACCTTTTCGCGGCTTGAGTGCCTTGCTGGTTATGAGATTCCGCTTCGCAACTGCAACAATCAGCTCAAACAGAGCCCGTCCTACTACTTGGCCAGTCAAAAGCCTCTGGTGTATCTATGCCGTCAACACGGTAGGTGGGCCATTTGTCAGAAGCATACCGTGACAGAACACCATGTGCTCGCCATCAAACAGCGATATGAGAAGGAGAGGGCGCAGCAAAGTACACGTGGCACCAGCGATGTTTGGAGCCCTGAACAATTTCTCACTGCAACTAGGACACTTCTTTTCCCACAATTGCCTGTTTCTCTTCATGGAAGCAAGCGGTCCAAGTGCCCCAAAACCAGGGTGTCATGTGCCAAATGATTTGGTTCCGAGGGCCCGCGGACTTATACAGCTGCTGTACCTTCGCGCTCCAAATACCTCAGAGTAGGCATTATGTGTTGATTTATAGCCCCAGGTTGCAGGGAAAGACCCTTGTGGACAGGTGGCCGACATACTGCAAGGCCTGGATGCCACCTGGCCTTCTGTTGCTGGAAATGCGAAGGCCAACCGGTCGCCCGGCTTGTGGCAAGAGTTGTTTTCGGTCTTGGGGTGGGGCAGTGGTTGGCAGAAACATGGGATGACCGAAAGGGGCATTTCTTGATGCTTACCCTCGAGCCGCAAACGATGAGTTGAAGGTTGTCATGGTGCATATTTCGTTTTGACGGTAGTACTTAGGATTCAGTTTTGTGGGCCATGGATCAGGATGCAGGCTTGGTCAATATTTTGAGGGTACACCCCGGTTTGAGTGTAGTGCTGGAGTTTTCTTGAAGTGTAAGTACAAAAGACCAATGATTGTGGCAATTTCGGTTCACCTCATCCTTGCACAAGTTTTCTCATCAGTTACAGCAAGGGCCTGTTATGGCTACACAGTGATGATTAGAAGCACAGCAGAACTCAGGATCCGCCTCGGCAAACACTTGCACGAGCTCCGGAAGCTTCAGTGGGGTACACTCGCCTCCCAGGAAGACCTAGAGACATTCCGTACGCTGCCGCTCGAATCAGCACGAAGGAATGTTCGCCATGCCAGTTGCGTTTCGTGGTCAATCACATCCGCAAACCGAGGTTGGAGAGAACTCGAACAGTCCGGAAAGTTCTGGCAGGTGCCCATCCGCCTCTGGAGGAGGCTCTGGGGCCACACGTCTAGGTTCACCGCAATAGGCACCACCAAACACAGACATAGCCAGCAGCTGTGAAATGATGAACGGCGAAAGTTTACGGAGGACGAGCTAGGCCACCTCACCACACGGAGAAGGCATCAGTTAGAAGATGTTACACGTGATTGCATCCACTGGCTGAGTACTTAGGCATACCGTCGTATAAGCTGACCCGATGAAGGCAGAACAATGAAACTAGATTTGGCAGCTGCTTCTGACTGCTGTGTTGTAGTGTCAGCCTATAAAAAAATGTGAAAGGAACCTTTGCTCTGGAATGGGGAAGGCGGGTTCCCCAAAGCCAATCATTGGGCTGGGATGCAAGGTGAGTTAGCCTCAAATACATCCGTGTAAAACTCAGGGGCAGGGAGTTGGAGGGACTCCCCTTTCTCCTGCAAACCTCAAACATGCAAGGAACAAGAAGACAGAAACAATACAATGCAGGTCCCAACTCCTCTAACAGGCTTTGGATGACGTCTTCCAGGGGCAAGTTCGCCTGGCAAGCGGCGAGCTGACGCCTGCTAGCCTGGAATCTGTAGAGGATGCAGATATCTGGCAATGAGCAGGAGTGGGCATCTTAAAAGGTGTTGAAACTGCACATTTGGTTCCTCAAGATGGCCAGTGCTTAACATACCCATGTGGTGAGTTTGCCAACATAGCTTGCAGCCTTCATGGTATTGACCCCCTTCAGAGAAGAGTAGGAGTGGCTTGTGCAGATTGCTCGCTGCTTTTGTTGCAGATAGCTTCCATCTAGCGCGGATGACTAGCAGCTAGACATCTCCATCAAAGTTCCACGGGAATTGATTTTGCCAATTTCCAGCACATGTTCTACGCGTGTTCGCAGTCAGGAGGCGTGTGGCCCTGTAGGTTTCCAGCGGCCGTTTGGTAGCTGCTGCTGCTTGCATCTGCTTGCTTTGCAGGAGCTTGCGTCATGCTTGAGCTCACTGTTGCAGGAGCAATGTCTCTTGACTATTCTATGTGATTATTCTTGGTTGCACCATGCGGGGTTCTGGCACTGAACCAAACACCGCCGCTTAATAAATTCGAGTTGTGCTTGCAGTCTCACACCATGTTTTCCTGAGACGAAGTGAAGTTCAGTCGGACAACTTTTTTAAGCCGCGGCTTCTGTGGGCGCAAGGCGCAAGACCACAAGGAAGTCGAATTCCCATTCTCCCTATGCATGCTCGTGTAAGAAGTCGGCGAAAGCTCCAGGCTCCATGCTGTAGAGGCCGGCTGTTGCACAACCAACGGCACAAGGTGCAGCGACATTATGGAAAACATTGATGATTGCGGAAATGCCATCTGCGCATATCTGCGCAGTTCTTTGTATCAGAAGATTCACCGCTGCTTCGCGTCATGGTTCACCCGTGCTCTCGCATGAACAAAGACTGAAGAATGGTCACGCTCACCAAGAGGCACATGCTAGCGGCATTCCCGTTGGCCAAGCCCTTAAGCAAGGCATGCACAGCCAAGCACACAAACGCAACAAAGAGAGACCTGCCTATATGCATGAGGACATCGTACCTGCCAGCAGACGTGTAGCCCGACAGATGGGATCACGCTCACATTGGCATAGACCAGCTTTCAAGTGCCATGTCGCCTTGATGGCCTTGGTATCTCGGAAGTCCAGCGCTTAGCGGGCGTGCAACGACGGTCACGTTGTTTCCTGTGGATGATCAGGGCGGAACGGCTTTGTTTAATGGCAATCCATGCTTCGAAGATGGGAATCCAAGTCTTCCTCAGATGGTCAAAGTGATTCCGCTGCGTGACGTGCTGTGGAAAGAAGCTTAAGTGAACTTCGAAATGCGCAGGCATAGAGCTGTCGGCCTCCGATCCGATAACATCCAGGGCGGTCTCTATCTCAACATCAGTCAAACGTGTCTGCACCAGTCATCTAGCTTGGGCAAACTGAGGCGGTCGCTCCTGGAATTTCCGCGGGTCTCCAGCCGTCTCACCAGTGAGCAGCAGATCAGCAGAGCAGGTTCGGGTAAGGCAGCACATGGTACAGCGCAGCGCAAGCAGGGGCATGCACGTTGTCTTCACAAAGACATTGCAGCTGCATGTAGAACTTCCGGAGTCCAGGTGCATCCAGCAGCGTTTGCACAGAATCTGGACGGACTGAACAGCTCGAAGAAACCACTCCAAAGAAACTAACAGCTCGTCGGATGGAGATTGCCTTTTGCATTTCTCTGCTATCATTTGCAGCCACGACTCTTTGTTCATGTATTGTGGACTGGCTCAGGGAGTTCAAAGCCAACCTAGCACATCCAACCGTTTATTCCGCTGCATATGGTCAAGCTGATGACGCTGGTTAGTGTGGTTCGGCTGCTGGCCGTCGTGGTGGTGGAGATGGCATCTGCCACCGACTACCCTGCCACCTGGGCGCTTGCGGATCACGGCACTGTCCCAGCCGCCACCGTCTACGCCTTGACCACGACCTCCAATGTCGACACAAAGTATCCTGGGACCATGAGCTCCGGTGATGTCAATGGTGATGGCATCAACGACTTCTCCTATGAGCTCCCGACGGGCACGCTCAACGTGCACTTCGGAGGCATCTCTGCAGACCTGGACCTGGATGGCATCACCTACAGCGGCTCCAACGGCTTCAGCATTGTCACTGGCAACAGTGGCGACATTTGGGGCACCATCGCCGGAGATGTTAACAACGACGGCTTCAACGACGTGCTCTTCTACCACGCGGCCTCCAGCTCCGTCAAGATCATCTTCGGCAAGGCAAGCGGCTGGAGTGCCTCCTACACTGTCGCGAGCATGATGTGGGATGGCACGGACGGCTACCAGCTGACCTACAGCGGCGACAGCAAGTTCGGCTCGAACTCATATGGGGGCTACGCGCCGCAGATCCTCACCAACTTCGACATCAACAACGATGGCATCGATGACATCGCCGTCCTCTCAAGCGGAACCAGCAACAGCGGGCGAGTCAGTATCTTCTTCGGCAAGAGCACCTGGTCCGCCTCAGTGGACGGCTCCAGTGACTTTGACGGCTCCAGCTCTGGCTTCTCTGTCATGGATTCAGCCAACGCAAGGCTGGGACGCGGTCTGGCCATGGGAGACATCAACGGAGATGGCATCGACGACATCGTGGTCTCGAGCAGAAGCTCTCAGCCGTCCAACGGCGCTGGCTGCGTCTATGTGCTGTTTGGTGGTGGCACCTACCCGGCCTCCATTACCGACATCTACTCGCATGTTGACGGCACCACTGGCTTTCGCCTGTGCGGCGCAGAAACCAACTACCTCGGGGACTACTTTGTGACTGTGTTGGACTTCAACGGCGACGGCATGGCAGACGTGCTGTTTGCCGGTCGAGGCACTGCTGACGGCCTGTACCTCTTGTTCGGCAGGGCATCATTCTCTGCGAGCATGTCTCTACCGATTGCAAGCGGCGAGGGTGTCACCTTTACTGGCTTGAGCTCGCCAGCTTTTGTGAGCCCACCTAACCTGGGCAATTTCAATGATGACCAGTACGACGATACCCTGCTCGTACAGAGCGGAAACATGTACGTTGTGTTTGGCAGTGCCAGTCCGACCGACACCATCGACGTCACGACGCTCAGCGGCACCGATGGCTTTGAGCTGACGGACAGCGAGATCTTGGCAACAAAATTCTACCACCCCATCGACATGACCGGAGACGGGTCAACGGACCTCCCGCTTTACACCCAGTCTTTCACTCCGTCATTCTCGACCGTAACGTCCTTGTATCTCATTGAGGGCAATGGGCCAGCTGCAGGAGGCACTCAAGGCGGTACCAGCACCACCGTCAGCACCACCATAACTACAAGTGGAACTATAACCAGAACCACCACCGTCACAACCACCATAACCACTACAAACACCAGCACGCTAGATGGTACGAGCACCACCGAAACTGCCACCACTACATCCACGATAACGGCTACCAAAACCATGAGCACTACAACCTCTGGGACAACCAGTGTCAGCACCAGCTTTACCACCACAGACACAACCACTATTACCACAACCAGAACCACCGCCACTACCACCACTTTCACTGCCAGCATTACCACATCCGTTACCAACACCTTCACCAACACGCATTCCACCACATTTACCGCCACCACAACCACCACCATCACAACCACCAGCAGCACCATGACCAGAACCACAGCTACCGTCTCCACAACGACAACCACAACCATAATGCTGCAAAACACCACCGTTTCCGAGGACAATAACGCCGCATGGGTCATCCTGTCAATCGTCCTAGTGGTGGCGATCATTACCTGTTCGGTGGCTGTGCACTGCTGCGTTGTGAAGATTTGGTGCAATAAGGAGGAGAACACACAGGACCCGGAACAGCCGACTGACCCCGAACACCAAGGGGCAGGAGAGCCAACTCACCCTGCAGAATCCTCTAGTAAGGATACTATTTGCCTTTAAGGATGGAAATAGTTGGTGTATGCTGGTTATAGAACATGTGTGTAGCTCTATGACTATTTTGGCTGTGTCCAGAGCAGCTGTTTTGTACTGGGGCTTTTTGTCTGCCCTGCGCGAGAAACCCTTGTAAGTGCAGACCCCCGCTCGCAACATACCTTGCCTGCGAGAAACCCTTGTTCAAGCTCATTGCATGCAGAATGAGGCAACATAAGCCCCCGACAAGGGCTTATAACAATGGGTGGAGGGGGGGCTCTGCGAAAACTCCCATTTTGAACGCTCCTAAATGTCCCGGAGCAGATGTATATCTCAGGGATGCGTGACTCTTCTGAGAAGTTGCACGCCCACCTTAGAGTTCCACATGCTTTTTCTGAGCTCGAGCACCTTCGAGCTTCATGGTCCTTGGAGGGGAGGCAACGTTGCTCCCCCCGCTTATTTGCATGACGTCCAGTATCTTATCTTCTGGGGGCACCTAAGGTTGGCCCCTGAAGAAGCATCCATGTTGTTCACTTTGCTACGGCTGTATTGGGCTGTGGGAGTGGTGACGTCTGTCGGCGTCACGACGAGGAAATGCCGCTTGCCGCTGGTGGAATTTCAGAAGTTCCCGTCACTTCAAATTCGCTTACATGGACTTGGAAGATTGAATTCTCAGACGAGATGTTACATCTTCTTGCAGATGCCGAGAAGGGATAATTATCCTGGCTGCTCTCTAGAGGGTTTCTCTTGCCAGGCCAAACACAAGCAATCACAGGCATCTACGACAACAGATCCCAAAAGCTGATTTTGATAATGGGACAGGGCAAGTTCCACAGCCGGGCAAACGTGAGCCGCGCTGGCACCAATGGTACTTGTAGATACGTAATATGTGACTCGGGCAAAGGGGAGTTTAGAGAAGCATATCATGTCTAGTCAGGATCCTGATGCTGCACTGCACTCAATGAAAAGCAGGTGAAGTCTAATGATACTACAGACGAGTAATCGGCCTCGATAGAAAAATAAATCCTAGTTGGACCTGCGCAGCATGCTACTAAAGTACAGGGGCGCAATGAAAAGCCATTGCTTTCTAGTTAGTAGGGATCTTGATGACGCAGTCGAAGATTCACTCATGTCAGTCTACGAGTCGTGCGTGTATGCAAAGGGGATGCTATGAGTGTGAGTTTAAATACGTCTATCATTGTGGCAGTCATGCAGGCTGCAACAGCGCTCTGTCCTTTTCTGGTGCCCTTTGCGTTTTCTGTTTCTCCTTGGGAATACTGGATATCCTTCTTCTGCAATGAAACTTTTCCATGGAGATCAGAAGCACTTGGTTTTTGTCTGGCCTCATGGGGAATGTTTCAACACATTGTATGGCATCCTCGACTGTCTCCAGGAGATTTCGTAGGAGTGGACACCTGCCCGAGCTGGTAGCATGGTAAACAGTAATAAAACTTCACGCTACCCCGAGACGCACATCTTCAGTTCTCCTTCATTCGTGCACAAGTTTATCGATGAGCGTCTCGTTGACGCAATAGTTGAGTGAGCGCAATGAGACACTAGTGACACGAGGGGAGGCAAAACTGCAATTTGTTGGCCATCCTCCAGCATTGAATCCAATTTGTACAATCTTGCACCATGCTAAGGAAGGCATGTGCCAGCTTCACGTGGCAGAACGCAACACATGGACAGCGCGATTGCTCGGCATCTAAAGCGAGCCGCTCTCATAGGCCTACCTCGAGTTCCGAATTTTATAGAATTTTGTTGCGCTTGTCAGAGCATTTCTGTTCCAAAGTGCGGCCTCATGAACGGAGCGTGAATCCCGCTTTTGAAGCCCAAGGCAGGATTTGCCCATCTCTTTGTGGTTGAGCTGATGGAAGCGAAACTTCGCCAAACTGCGACACGGCATGAGACAGCCTAGCGGGGCCTAGCAGCGGAAAAGTTGCCCGCCGAAAGAGAGCTGTCTCTCCTGGAACGAGACTTGAAAAGACCAGTCGGACAAACGATGGGAAGTAAAGACCGTCACACCGGCTCCGTTTTTGAGAAGCGTTAGAGCTCAGCGAATCCCAGCAAAAACGTCATCCGACCGAATAGTGCAGACTGGAGAAGCACGAGTTGAGCCCGTTTTATATTCCACATGGATGCTGTGAAAGCTGGCCTTTGCGAATTTGAAAATAGAATTTGCAAATTCCGTTGCATAGCCTGTTTGACTTGCTCTCAGGCAATTCCGAAACTCTCACAACAGTGACTTGCAAGGTTGCGCAGGCAGGCTGCCTCAGGAAACGGCTGGCATGTTTCTCTCAAGCGCCGCTAGTCCGCACATGCAGCATCGGCCTCCGAGTAAAAGCAAACCTCTAAGCATAGCGCATAGCGTGCACCAGCCAAGCCTGCAAGCGTTACGTGATTCTGCCCATGCCAGAATGCAAGAACATCGTGGCGTGAATGGCCAAGTAGGCGTAGGACATGTGAAGACATGTGTGCTGTAGCCTGGGACATCGTTCAGAGCGGCCATGCTCGCCATGGAGACGTGATGAGTCGGTGACTAAGAAGTCAGATGGCTTTCTGGAAGTTTGGCGTAGACAGCTTTTCAAGTCTCCTGGCAGGAATTGCCCGTTGTATTCATGACCTGATCCAATCGAGACTGCACAAAAAAATGCTCTCTGCTGTTCTGTGTTTCAGTGCATTTTTCATATTTGGACTGTTCGGCTTGGAATCCGGACCTGCAAGCAAGTCATCAAAGCTCCCCGGAAGGGAGCTTCGTTAAATACCTCGCAACATGGGGGCCGTGGGGGGATTTCTGCTTGGTATTTTCGCCGCCCTTCACCAGTGGCTGGATTCTCCCACGTCGGCTCAGAGTGCCTTTTTGGGCTTGATTCTTGGGGATTTGGTGTGGTTTTTGGATATCTTGTGGAGGATCTTGGGGGGCCTTAGAGCAATCTTGGACGTTTTAAAGCAGGGTCTTGATGGTAGGAGGGTTGCAGTTCTTTTCATAAGCAATGAGGGCTGAGCTGCGTGCTCTTCGGGTCATATACAGCATAAACTTACTGGGGGTTAGCAGGGACTTTGGGAATGTTTTCAGGATTATAGGGATCATATTTCCCTTCCTTACTAAGCACCAGTAAGATTACTTGGAGGGTCAGGGGGACTTAGTACGTGGGTTAACAGCGGGGATAACTGGGGTTAGGCATATACTGTCTAGCACCCACTGCTTCTTGGGGATTAGTAGGGAAAACGGAGATAAATTATGAGGCAGGGACGGTATTCTCTTGACAAAGCACCAGGAAGACTTCTTGGAGGGTCAGGGAGACTTAGCAGGTGCGTTCATAATGGGGGTAAATTGCGGTCACTATACGGCTTACAGATCCTCCAAGCCATTGTCACGTCCCGGCCTGTGGCTCTCAAGTTTCATATTGCATGTGGTGTCGGGAAGGTTTGGTGGGCAGGTTTCTGGCTCACAAAAAACGTGGTTGACTAGGTGAAGGCAGCTTCTTTGGAGACAGCTGCAGAGTGCATTATCAAAGATTGAAGATGCTTCAGCCTAACTATGTACCGTTACTTCCCCTCCCGAGTGTTCTGCATAATCCGGGTGCAGCGGAATGTAGTGCCACCTCTTCGCTCGAATCCTCGTTAAGCTGGGACTGTTCGCCTTTGCCCTACATCACACCCCAGACTCCCATCCTGCAAGGCGAAGAAGCAGTTGGTAGAGGTGGCTTCCAGAGATCTTGGACACCTGGCAGCAGGACAGCATTCAGTAGTTGGCATGTTGGGATTCGTGGTAAGTTGCCTTCTTGCATTCTGAGCGCTCATGACTTGATGTGCTTGATGCCTCTCTTTGTTACTACGCAAACCTGATCTTTTTGTCTGTGCGGCGTGGGAAACTTTGAAGACTCGAGGCGATAAAAGAACTTTGACGAAACAAATAGCAGGCTTGGGAGATTGGCTTGTGCAAATACAGTGGGGGCTAATACAAGATTCTGCAGCTACGTAGTGGCTTGTAGAGAAGCGTCATGGTATTGGTGGCCACTGCGAAGTAAAAGTCAAAGCAGGGCAGCGCCGCGGCGGCCCATCTTCCCGTGCCGGGCCGAGCCAGCAGGGGCTTCTTCGCTTTGAGCGGATTGCATTGGCATTATATAGATTGAGGTAATGGTAAAGAAGCTCGAAACTAGTGTTATTGAATAGCGGAGAATCAAAGGGGAGATGAAATTAAGACTACGACTTAGTTTGGAGGCTTTCCAGATGATGCTTGGCTACAGAGAGCTTGCATTCTGCACGGTTTGGAGTCCATTCCTGAAGTATCTCTAAAAGATGCCAAGTCAACTGTCGTGCCCATGCCACCTCAGCTGATTGCAAAGGAGATGAGCTGCTCTAGCAGAGTACGACTCATAGGGCCTTGGCCTCAGTTGTTAGGTCGCAAGTAAGACTGAACAAAGGTCTCCATAAGGGACGTCGTATTTTCAGACCAGCCCACATGTGTAAGTATTTGTACCAACGAGTGAAGTTTGAGCTGACAGACCATGCGGCGCGTGGTCTGCCCATGAAGCAATTCAGGCCTTATGTTGGATCTAATGCGTCACTTGTGCGAGTTGTTCCTGAACTCTGGTGCACAGTGCTTGTCTGGCAACAGTTCCAAGTGAGCAAGGCCGGGGTAGGGGGACGGCTGAGGCCTGAAGCTAGTGCCTCCAGAAAAATGTTGGATTAGATGGCAGAGACAGGCCATGCAACACCACTCCACCGCAGCCACCAACAAAAGCTCGACAGCGCCCGCCGTCAAAAAAGAGAGACGTTCACAGGTTGGATGATTTGGTCTTCTTGTAGTGTCGCTGTTGAGCCTACTTGTTGCCCAGGAGTTTTAAAGGCATTGCTCAAAAGCAGCTCTAGCACAACGATGT